GCATTGAGTAGGAGTTTGCTCACTCGCTCGCTCGAACTCCGAGTTTTTGTCCACCCTGGTTTTTATATAAAACGATAGTTTACTATACAGCTAATGAAAATTTGGAATAAAACATCGCGGGATTTTTTATTCCAAATTGTTGCCTGCGGCGCTTNAGTCATACATCAAATTAAAGATATTTTTGTGCTCTTTCTGATAATCATATTTGTTAACATAGTTAATTACGTATTTTTTTACGAAAAACATACGTTTTTATAAAAAAATTGCCATAATTAGGTTTTTGTACTTTTCTCAAAATATGTATACATTATATACATAAATATATATCGAATGAAAGCTCCTTCAATCACTTTTCCAACTGTGACCATAGTTTTAAAATCGGTTCAAAATTATTCAAAATATAGGCTTTTAAGGATGTTGAAAATTTCACGTTTAGCCCCCTTAGCGCCAGATAATTTGCACAAAAAAAATATGCCGTTAAAATCAGGAAAAGAGGGCGGTCCACGCCTACTTTTTTTTAGCTCATCGGCCCCAATTCCAATTATTGTTTAAACGTTTACGTAATGTTTAACGTAAAGTAAAAATTATGAATTTATTAACGGCTTTTGCTCGATTTTAGGGATGAGAAAACGACGAGCTAACGACGAACAAACGATTTATCANACTATCGATTGCAATAATAATTAACCCAAAATAATCTGTTGCGGGTGCTAACTTCAGGAATTACGTAAAGTGAAAATTGAAAAATTAATTATAAATTTTTGGCTAACGAGCAAACGTTAAAAATGGACGAACATTAAAGAACAATCGACGAACTATCGATTGCAATACAAAAATCTTAATATTTTCACAAATGGGGTGCTAACGACGGTTTAGGTAGGTTTTAGTTGTGAATAAACCTGCCGCTATCACTTTCGGAACGCTCACGACAAATATCACATACAAAATTTTAACAGCTCGTCACCCTGTCATGTGACAATTCCGCTACTCAATTATTTTACTTCAGATGCATCCTGTAATACAATCAATAACCAGTGTTGCCAGTTAACTTTCGGGCTAGATTTAGCCGGTTGCGATAGCAAACAGCCAGAGATTTGATTTTTCCAAAAAATTTGCCGTTTTTAGCCGACTTTGCTATAGGCCTTCAAAAACATAAGTTTCCTTTTTTAGAAATTTAGCCACCCAAAATCTATAAGAAATGGCTAGCCTTATCTCGGACTGTGTTATATAAAATTGAAAGACAATTTTTTCTAATCCGAGAAGTCCTAAAATACTGGGCCGATTTCAACGGTATATATATATAGATACATATAAACTGGGACCCCACATTTTTACAAGTTTTGGCTATTTTTCTTTAATTTATTTAATGGTTATTATTATTTTTTTAATGAAAGTGTAGTTGATTACTTGATAATTTAAATCCAAATTTCATACTTTGTGCAAAAATTATGAAAATGTTTCAAATTTTCAGCAAATTCGTTTACTTTTTAATGAGCATCTTTAAAAATTTGAAGATTTAGTATAATGAATTAAAAATTTAAAGTAAATAGCACATGCCGTGGTTTTTTTGCAATTTTTTTGTTGACGGTGTTCCGCATTTTTCCCCTCTATAAATAAATGGTAGAACACATTTTGAAGGGGAAAAAAATGTGTAACACCGTCATACAAAAAAATTCCAAAAATTAACGGTAGGTCCTAGCTACTTCAAGTTTGCACCATGTTATATTAAAATTTAATAGACTATGAAAGTGCATACCATAATTTATCTAAAGATGTGGATTAAAAAGTTACAAATTTTCGTGTAACTAAGAATTTTCATAATTTTCGCACAAAGTTTGAAGTTTGGATTCATATATATTATGGTGTTTGTTAAGTAATCAGCTATTTTTTCGCAAGAAAATAATAAACATTAAATAAACTAAGGAAAAATTGCCAAAACTTGCTAAAATGTCGCGTCCCACTTTATATCTGGATCACCGTATTCTTTCCAGATGCAAAAAAAATGTCTTAAATATAAGTGTGAAGTTTTATTCGCAACACTTAGAAAATAACGAAACAAAGCAAACCTCTCTGGGAATACGATATCTGTGAATAATTATATATATCTCGAATGTATAAAGAAACGCAGCCTATACAAACATGACTTCTGATGTAAAGCTTAGCTACGTAAACGACAGTTTCCTTTATCAAACAGAAATAATTTGTAATGAATGTACCAGTCTCGGTTTTTGGGATCTATTGAATGAATTTACTAGTCTTTCTAAGTAGTTGCGATTTATTCAAGTATAAAATTTCAATTTTAGTTGAAACATTTTAGCCGTTTGTAGCCGCTTTTTTTAGCCAATTTAGCCGCTTTTTTTTTGCCAATTTAGCCGGTCGGCACAAAAAATTCTGGCAACACGGTTGATAACAAACATGAACAACATCATTCTAGCTCTATGCCGCAAAATGAGAAATACCTTTTTTATTTGTGGCCTTATTCAGGCAGACAAAAAAGCACACTAATTTAATGCTAATATAGCCTATGATTATGCATAATATTCAGATTTTCCAAGGTAAATGTCTCGTTTACATTTCTCAGTAAGCGAGGGTCTGGTTCAAACGAGTCTTGCTGTAGTTTTATTTTTGTATGCTAATTTATAATTTATAGAAAAAGTAATAATAAATAACTTATTCTGTCCATCTGTGTGTACAATTTTGATTTGTGCACACATAATACAATCTCATTTCCTCTTCAGCGCGGCGTGTTTGCGCTTGGAAGAACACTGCTTCCCTGTGTGAGCATTTCGGACAGGCGTGGTCTTCGGTACGTGGTAAAGTGGGATCAGAAATTACGTCCGGGACTATGTGGGTGAGCTCACTGTGCGCAAATACATATGTTTACATAGGGATTTATTTATTCCATTTAAAAATATATATTAATTCGGGACTTACTCAATTTCGTGCATAATTTTGTTCACATAAATGCAATTTGAATCAGCTTCCTGTTTGTAATCACAATTTCGGCAAGCATATAGCAGCACTTTATTTTCTTTGTCTTCCTTTGGATACAACATATTATTACTGAAAACAAAAAATAAAAAATAAAAGTTTGCGACAATTTCATCATGGCTGACGAGATCGCCATTCACTTACCACTCTTGGCAGAAGCGTATACCAACAAATCCAGGACCCTCCGAATTAGCATTATCGAAAATAGACATTCTGTTGTATGCTGTTTAAGAACTGATTAACAACTTTTATTTTGAAAAACACCGCGAAACGAAAGGGAAAACCTCCTAGACGCGTTATTTTAGCAAACTTTCTGTTAACGATGTGCAAAACACGATTTGGCCAATCGATAACTTCGTTTTAGAGATGTCCTACCATTAAACAGAAGAAAAACTTACTCGGATTTTTGTAAAAAAAAATATATATTATATCGCCTCATCATGCGTGATTCATTAGTTTCATATAAGTTTGCTTTTAATGTATGTACTATTTTTTTGATTGGCCGAGAGAATTGAAAAACCACTCCATTTTGGTAATTATTAATCACCATGACACCCGGTGTTACAATCGTCGTACACACACACACTACGCGCTTCTTATCTAAATGCACATTGCCACATCACTAGTCAGCTGCTTTAGAAATTGTAAATAAAAAAACCAAACTTTTTGCCGGCATAGCTTTTTTTATGACGTAGCCTAATTGGAATAAAAAAATTATGAAAATTAATGTAATCAAGGCAGATGTTATAGCTGCACTAAGTGTCGCCGTAGCTATTCGTTGCATCGTATCGCTTTATTCATACTCTGGCGCTGGGAACCCACCAATGTATGGAGACTACGAGGCACAAAGGCATTGGCAAGAGATTACCACAAATGTACAGCCAAGAGATTGGTACAGAAACACAACAGAAAATGATTTATTGTACTGGGGACTTGATTACCCACCTATAACAGCGTATCACAGCTATATCATTGGTATTGTTGGTAAAGGGCTCAATGAAAGTTTTGTCAAATTGGGTGAATCACGAGGCATTGAATCTGCGGCACATAAAAATTTTATGCGAATGACGGTATTATTTGCTGACATCCTTTTATATCTGCCAGCTATTTTAATATTTGGCACGGTGCTATTTACAAATTTTAAGAAATCGTTGCTCTTTTATCTGCTACCCATGGTTTTTTATCCTGGACAAATTCTTATTGATAACGGACACTTCCAGTACAATAATGTATCACTTGGTTTATGCTTATTAGCAGTAGCTGCTATTTTTAAGGGACGTTTTTATTTGGGTTCATTTCTATATACGTTGGCTTTAAATTATAAACAAATGGAGCTCTACCATGCATTACCCTTTTTCATTTACCTACTGCGAACGTGTTGTGATCAAAAGGGGCAAGTGGAGCGTATTGGAAAATTTTTTCTGTTAATATTTAATGGAATTCTTATATTTTAGATTCTTGTCAAAACTTAAAACATTTGCGTTTATAGCTAGTACGGTTTTAGCTACGTTTCTGGTAATTTGGCTACCATGGCTAACATCGGTGACGTCTATACTGGAAGTGCTCTATCGGCTGTTCCCCATTGGACGCGGCGTCTTCGAAGATAAAGTAGCTAACTTTTGGTGTGCTCTCAATGTGGTTTATAAAATCAAGTAATGACGTACATACATAGAGCGTAGAATTTTTTTTAATCTTATTAAAGTCGCTATTCTGCAGAAACAAATTACAAAACCAACAAATGGCCACGCTATGTTTAGGTGTCACAGCAGCTTTTGTATTGCCAATCAACATACATATGTTCTTTAACAAAAGAAAACAAACATTCCTTTTGAGTTTGGTGAGCACGGCCATGGCTTTTTACTTGTTTTCCTTTCAGGTAAGGCAGTTAATAATTTTGAATATAATTAAATTCCAATGATTGCAGGTTCATGAAAAATCTATACTACTTGTTGCTGTACCTGCATTGGGTTTGTTCAGCAGTTACCCCCTGGAAACTCTATGGTTTCTGGAAGCTACGGTGTTTAGCATGTTTCCTTTATACGTTAAAGATGGTCTGGTGATCCCATTTTTTGCGCTGCTCTTTATCTATCATTTCTGCATTAAACACATACTTCTGAAAGAACTTAAACAGGACTTTAAAAGTAGTTCACTATCTGCTTCTTCGTCAATTTCGATATTTTCTATGTTTTTTATTGCGTTAGTATCTTTATATGCACCGGCTCCTGAAAGGTACCCATTTATATGGCCTTTGCTAATTTGTCTACATAGCTTTGCACACTTTTTCGTATATTTTGGATTCTGTATATCACATCAAATTTCGGGAGAGTTTAATGTAAAAATTAAGTCAGCTTGATAAGTTACAAGTAATTTTTAAGCAAAAAATAAAACCGACTTTAATTCCCATATACAAAATTTAAGATTAACGTTAATTTCTTCAAGATCCTTTCCTATAAAAAAGAATTATAGAAATCGATTAACGTGGTCCAAATTTATTCGGTAACATACATAAAAATAAAAAAAATCCGACGAATTCTCCTTTTTTTTTTTGAAGACGATTAAAAATTGTTATTAAGGAACGTATCGTAGTAAATAAATAAATAGATAGCAATCTGACAGGTTCTGCAATTCACTTCCGAGTGAATTTTAGTCAAGTTCGCTTTGAATTCAAAAAACTTCTGTAATATATTTTAAATAAAATGTTGCGTATAATCTTTTGTTAAATATTTATTATTAGGAAGAATCAAGAAAATTCAATATATTTTAAATTTTTTCAGTTTTAGAATTTTTTGAGCGGTTTTGTGGGCCATTAAATTTTAGTATGTGAAATTAAAAAAATTTCTGTATAAAAAATATCGCGTGCACACAGCATATTTTCACCCTGCTGGTGTTGTCAATCTGATTATTATTTCTTTTGAGCACTCTGTGTTTCAATTCCTCTTAATGTTCTAAAATTCTACAACTATTCATAACTAAATTTTTCCGGTGCCCTACCTACGTGTCCAAAAGAAAAAACATGGAAATTAGCCGGTGTACAATTTTATTCCTATTAATTGTTTCCTTGTTTTGTCTAATTTCGGCAAAAATTGTTAATAAAAATGTCGACCTCTCGTTGGATATATCGAGCCAATTAGTTAAGGAGCACATCAGGATAACTGCTACAAACAGCGATGGCAAACCGATTAGCGTGTACACGTTCTTGGTGCCTGCCACAGATCGTAAAAATTTGGCATTTATTTCAGCAAAGGATGAAAATAAAAAGGATCTGAAGTTCACGGAAAATTTAGTTAATGGCCATCATGAATTTTCAATTGCTTTCCCCACATCTTTGGCAACCGAAGTTTTCACCATTGAGACAGTGTACACGAAGAAGCTGATACCCCACCCTAGCCAAATACCGCAATCGGGAAAGCAGCTTGTAAAGTATGAAGGTAATCTTTATCTGTACTCGCCGTATGAGACAACTAGCCACAAAACCAGCGTATTACTAAGTTCAGCGAACCTACTTTCTCACACGCAAGTAAAACCATTTAATGTCGCTGCTAATAAAATCAAATATGGTCCGTATGAGAATATTGCAGGTAAGGAGAATATATATGTATATACACATATTTTCGATCGACTATAATTAGTAATCATATTAACACTCATAGCTTTAACCAATCAGTCGCTTGTGATACACTATGAAAACGAACGCCCCTTTTTGACAACGACACGCCTTGAGCGGATCATAGAGGTATCGCACTGGGGAAATATTGCAGTAAAGGAAAATATTTTCATGGAACACACTGGTGCTTTGCTAAAAGGTTCGTTTTCCCGCTATGAATTCCAAAAGGATGGGCGCTCCGGGAATGCTATTAAATCTTATAAAACTTTACTGCCTGCATCCGCATCAGATGTCTACTACCGTGACACCAACGGCAATATCTCCACATCTAATATGAAAATTTTACGGGACTCTGTTGAATTGGAATTACGCCCAAGATTTCCACTTTTCGGTGGCTGGAAAACACAATATACACTTGGCTATAACATTCCATCATTTGAATATCTCTTCAACGCCGATGATAAGTACCAATTGAGAATGCGTCTTATTGATCACATCTACAATGATATGGTGATCGATGAAGCTGAAGTTAAAATCATTTTACCTGAAGGGGTTTCCAATATTGAAATAACCACACCGTATTCAGTGAAAAGGGGAGCAAATGAATTGCATTTTACGTATCTGGACACAGTAGGTAGACCCGTCATTACTTTGTATAGAAGAAATCTGGTAGAGAATCATATTGCAAACTTTAGTTTGAAGTATACATTTTCGAAAATTTCTCTCTTACAAGAACCGCTATTGGTTGTTGCTTTCTTCTTTATAATTTTCATCGTAGCAATAATTTCCTTGCGTCTCGATTTCTCGATCAATACCTCACACAGTCATAAAGACTAAATGCAGTCTAGTTAATGCTTAATATTAATGTGGAAGAGCATAATAATAGAGTAACTTTATAATAAATAAAAAAAATCTTTTAGTAGATTTCAATAAACCTTTTTGTTTTTTTTTAATAAAGGAGAGCATTAATTTAGTAAAAAGAAAACAAGTCGTGATTATGTATACATACTTACATATGACATGTTTACTAGTCGATAAAGTTGAAAATGGCTCCAGAAAAAAATACGATGGGTTAGAATCACGAAAAACGTTTAACAGTTTAACATTTCACACTTCAAAAAGTGGCGGATTTTGGGCGTCACTAGTACCTCCTAACAGTACGGTTGGTTACCTTTACTCTTCTTCGACGAAAATTTTATGAATATTTTATATATTTTTCAAAACGGTTGGGGGTTCTTCCCCCTCCGCGTACTAAAAAAAACAATCAAACGATTTTTCAAAACTTCCATCGCAAANGACGAAAATTTTATGAATATTTTATATATTTTTCAAAACGGTTGGGGGTTTTTCCCCCTCCGCGTACTAAAAAACAATCAAACGATTTTTCAAAACTTCCATCGCAACAGCAGACCCGTATCGAAAAACCACCATACCTTAAAAAACAACATCGCATACAGCGATACTTATTCGTCTTAATAGATCAGATAAAGTATATATTTACATAGAAAATGCATCTTTAATTTACAATGATATTCCATTAAATATCTATAAAATTTTTCGAATCTATAACAATGTAAGAAATATTTAATTTTGCGATACATTACATACAAACATACAAGAATTAATGTACTATATAGATTATACGACTCACAATTAACACAACAATTAAATTGCTACAATATTTCAATGAATCACCAGCACGTTGTACAGCAGCTGGATGGTCGCCTATAAATGAAAAAAAATGAAAAACGTTAATTATAATCGGATATGTCACTATTTAGTCAAACATCCGCTTACCGTTTAGAACATGCACGTTTACCGATTTAGAATTTGCGTTGGATGGTAAGCAAGAATATCTGCCTGAATCTGAAATTCTTGCTTTTTGTATAAGCAGATAGGACGTTGTTATGTCGCCTTTCTCAGTTATGACAGAAACTCCGCCCCGTGGTGAGTCGTAATTTATTTCCTATTTGGAAAGAAAGATGAAAAAAAGTTCGCCAAATTGTATTTGTTTAGGTATGTATTTAATTAGATACTAAACCTCGTTGTTATGTGTCCAGTGCACTGTTAAAGGGGGATCTGGTAGATGTTTAACAATGCAAGTTAAATTAACTGTTGATCCCATGTCGATGTATAATTCTGGACCGCCGGGTATGGTTGTAATGGGTTCTGCATTTGAATTATTTTACATTTAATTTCAGTGCTTTATTATGCATTCTTATACATATCGTCGTTTTAAGTACAAAACCACGTATCGTCATTCTGCAAAGCCGCGTAACTGACATTTGCTGCCAAAAATTGGATTTGCTCACACAAGCTCTTGGCTCAGGCCATATCATTCGTCCTGAAATGTACTAGCCAGAAATGTGATTGCTTTATAAAATGAGAACCATTTTGACATATGAGTGTTCTGAGACTCTCCAGAAAATAATTTATGCAACCTCACATACGCGGTTTTATACTTTAAACGACGATATATATGTATGTAGCCNAGTGTTCTGAGACTCTCCAGAAAATAATTTATGCAACCTCACATACGCGGGTTTATACTTTTAACGACGATATATATGTATGTAGCANAGTACAAAACCACGTATCGTCATTCTGCAAAGCCGCGTAACTGACATTTGCTGCCAAAAATTGGATTTGCTCACACAAGCTCTTGGCTCAGGCCATATCATTCGTCCTGAAATGTACTAGCCAGAAATGTGATTGCTTTATAAAATGAGAACCATTTTGACATATGAGTGTTCTGAGACTCTCCAGAAAATAATTTATGCAACCTCACATACGCGGTTTTATACTTTAAACGACGATATATATGTATGTAGCCTGTATTTACCAACGACAGAGAACACCATTGTATAGCCAACGGGCGGCGTTGTGGAAACTTGACATTCATAAACCCCGGAATCTCTTATTTGCGGGAATTTTATCTAGAATGAAGGATAAAAAAGGTAAGATAAAAAAAAACGCAAATCTATTTTTAAAATGAACTTACTTGCAGTGACCAGTCTCCAGTTATCTTGTTGTATATAGAAGTGAACCTCTGATCGGATGTATATGTGCTTTCGCCCACTGTCAGTAGATGCAAATCCCTATGCCTGATCCATGAAACCTTAAAATGTTAAATTTTTTACTAAAATTTTTAAAAATGACTTCCGCAATATCTTCTAAGGATGTGTAGGTGCATAAATTTGCACATATCATGTACTTGGCAAATGTACTCCACTATCACTATACTCGATATGGGTGAAGAAAGATGTGGGGGTTAATGAAAAATACATTTAGTTTTTAGAGCGGCCGTACATTTTCCGAAACCATTTTTATCGAATGTATTCACATGCAATTTACCAGCCAACCAGCCAGCCGGACATTTGGCTCGTTGCCCATCCGATGGCAGGCAATTATTGATACTCACTGTTTTGTTTCCAAGGTTCTTAATGCGGCAATTTAAATGCGCTGTTTTACCAACCAACGATGTTACATTTTTCGTAGCCGATGTATCGAAGTAGGGTCCTCTATCAAGCGGTCTATGGCTTTTTAAATATGTTTCCCCCAATGAATCAAACGCTTCCTCGGCTCCCCTTGATTTTTGTACGAGCTCTGACCCGTTGATTTGTTGGCTATGATCAATATACACATATTGACAGTCGATTGTTCTGTGAAAAACTGAATAGCAGACAAATAACGGCATTAAATTAAAAACAGCAAAGTTATTTTATAACAATTTCGCAGAGCTTTACTTTGCCATGCGAATATATATTATTTTGCTTTATATAGCCATCCATCCATCCACTCGACCTAATGAGTGCTTGCTTGGAATCAATTTTTTTTCTTTCGAAAATGCATTATTTATACTGAGTTCTGCGTTTGACTTACATATAAAAATTATAGCTAGACCACAAATTGCTTTTGAGTTGCGAAACATTTTATTTTTCTCTTGCAAATGTGAAACTATTTCAGTTTCATCAGGTCGCAGGCCATACTTTTGCTTTTAACACAACAGAAACTTTTACTATAAAATGCACATAATACTTCCTTGACATAGACAAGAGCCTGGTAATGGCACATGCGCATTAGTGGCGACGTTTTCACTTGTACATTTCGTACTTGTTTGGATTTAATTTAAAAATGGCATGTACACATATAATAGCACTTAAAACTAAATTTGGTTCTTATAAACACATAAGGGTTAAGACTTGGGCAATACAATTTCTGTTTGCCTCGTCCTAACACACTGGTGCTACTCCTATTTCGGTTTCGCATTCCACTGCTAAAGTTCCTCGGGAAGTCCCAACGAACTTAAACAAAAAACATGGTTAGGGTGTAATGAGTTTTTCAACAACAATTATAGATCCATCATACATGGCTGAAAACTGGGCAATTCGGGTTCAAAAGATTCAAGTGGTATTTTTTCCTCCAGGCGGAATCAGTCGTATCTTCTAAATCGACTTCCGGACNAACAATTATAGATCCATCATACATGGCTGAAAACTGGGCAATTCGGGTTCTAAAGATTCAAGTGGTATTTTTTCCTCCAGGCGGAATCAGTCGTATCTTCTAAATCGACTTCCGGATCCTATTTCCTAATGAAGTCATCGTCCTTATAGGTAATCGTTAGGATTGTGTTCTTGATGTCAAAAATTAAAATTATAATAAATTATGTGATAAAATTAAATTTGTTTTCAGTTCCTAATATAGACAGAATAATTAAATTTATTTGCGGTAATTTGTTAAATGCTTTTGCAATTTATCGGTTTGAGAATACCCCCATAGCAAATATGTACACCCTGTGCTTCACAATGTTTCGGCATTTCAACAAAGTAGTTATCATTGCGTAGAGCTGCAAAAGTATCGATATTCGTCCTACTCGATACTTTTGATGGAATAGAGAAAAAGGCTCGACACATCGATTTACATCGTAAATTTTTTTAACCTAAATAAAACAATCGTCAACTACTTTCTGAAACCTCTCAATTTGATAGCCTTTTCGAAATATATTGCCACGTCTGACACGCTCTTAAGTAATGAGAAAATGGAAAGCCATACTCAAATATCGAAGAAAACAACGAAACAAATTTNTCAGTTCCTAATATAGACAGAATAATTAAATTTATTTGCGGTAATTTGTTAAATGCTTTTGCAATTTATCGGTTTGAGAATACCCCCATAGCAAATATGTACACCCTGTGCTTCACAATGTTTCGGCATTTCAACAAAGTAGTTATCATTGCGTAGAGCTGCAAAAGTATCGATATTCGTCCTACTCGATACTTTTGATGGAATAGAGAAAAAGGCTCGACACATCGATTTACATCGTAAATTTTTTTAACCTAAATAAAACAATCGTCAACTACTTTCTGAAACCTCTCAATTTGACAGCCTTTTCGAAATATATTGCCACGTCTGACACGCTCTTAAGTAATGAGAAAATGGAAAGCCATACTCGATATCGAAGAAAACAACGAAACAAATTTTCTTTGATGTATGTATGTATGTACATATTGTTACGATTATCCTCGAAGNGCTGACACTCGTCGACAATGGATAACGCAACGCTTAGCGCTCCAATTTAGAGACGGCAGTTTGATGTATGTATGTATGTACATATTGTTACGATTAAGGCCGGTCCACATAGAACTTTCGTGTTGGCTTTGGCGTTGGCGTTGGTTTGACAGATATCCTCGAAGCCTTGGGGGATTTCCCCAATATACTCGGGCTCGTATCGCTGGATTGTTAAATAAATGCTCACGATGACCAAATTGTAGTACAATTAACTTTATTGTACAACAAACAATTTACAATACTCGCTAATACAGTAAAAACACTCTACAACACTTGTTAAAGCAATAACAACGCTTAACTAAACTTGTTAACACAGTTAAACCTTTAGCTTGCTTATTCACCACCCACTTCTCTGCTCACTTTACTTGTAGCTTGCTGTCTTGTAACTAACTTACTTCGCTGTGGCGGCGCCCTTATATACCTGCACTCGTACTTATGGCCACTCCTTTTCGATATGCTAGGCCGTTTTTTGCAGGGTAGTTTTCAAAAACTATCGATAGGTGCGACAGTTTGCAACTATCGACAGTATCCCAGCTCTAGCAGGTGTGTTTGAGATAGTGCACAGTCGAACATGGTCAGTCTTTCAACTTTACGAAATCATTGGAAAAAATCGTTATTTGCAGCGGGTGTCGCAGGATATGGGCTATATTATGCAAAAACAAGCTTCGAGTAAGTCATTCCTGCATAGTAATATAGTTTCAATTGATTTCTTCATATGGTGTAATCAGATGGCTTGCGGGCCTGCATAATGTTGCCATATGACTCAAACCCAATATGTAAACAACTGGATTTTTAAATTTTTAATAATTTTTCCCCCCAATTTTTATTTAAATTTTAACAGCATATCCCAGCATATGAAAAATGTTTGTGCCGACACCATTGCAAATGGAAAGGTTTGTGATAAGCCCAAACATGTTTTGGTTGTTTTGAATCCCGCTGCCAACAAAAGAAAAGCGGAGAAAATGGTAAAGCTTGATGTTAAGAATTAGCTTCTTTATTTAAACAAAACTTTTCACTTAGTTTAAGGATTATTGCGAACCTATTCTGCACCTCTCCGGTTATNTTTGAATCCCGCTGCCAACAAAAGAAAAGCGGAGAAAATGGTAAAGCTTGGTGTTAAGAATTAGCTTCTTTATTTAAACAAAACTTTTCACTTAGTTTAAGGATTATTGCGAACCTATTCTGCACCTCTCCGGTTACAGCGTGGACATTATTAAAACGACTGAAGAGGGTCATGTCAAGACATGGCTTAATGATATGACTGTGCGTCCACATGCGATTGTAGTCGCAGGTGGCGATGGGACAGCATCAGAAGTAGTTACGGGGCTACTACGTCGAAAAGAAGGCAAGTGCCCTATTGTCTTGCTGCCATTAGGACGAAGAAGCACAACCGCATTGAAATATCTCGATTTTAAACCGGAAAACAAACTCGAACGTGTCAAATCCCTAACTGCGGCTTTAAGGCCACTTCTAGAGGAGAAAGTAAGGAGTGAAAGTGTTATGAAAGTCGATTTCATTAACAGTCCATCAGATAATGCGCCTGCAAACAAAACAACTGAAACCTCCATTTACGGCTTGAATGACTTTTCTTGGGGGCTGCTACGGGATCTTGAAAGCATTACAGATAAATATTGGTACTTTGGACCGCTGCGACAATATGCAGCTACAATTCTTAACGCATTTTCCAGCAAACTAGACTGGAACTTTTCTACAGATTTCATTTACACTCCACCGTGCTCCGGTTGCCGTAATTGCCAAGCGAAGGAAAATAAATCGTATGTGAAAAAGTTTTTACCTCGCATGTATACGGTAAGGGACACAAGTATTCCCAATGCAAACTCTTATAAATTAAATGACGATTGCGCTACAAGAATTGAGGGACATACGAGTGCGAATCAACTAAATATAACCTGCAAAAAAAATGGTGATTCAATCACCGAACTTGAAACCAAAATTATTAACACGCTAGTGCCAGGCATCGAATTTGTTAAAAAATTAAACAAAGTAATAGGCAGGGAGCTGGAACCCAACAGCATGCTTAAAAGTAGAACTATACAGCTGCTACCTTCTGTAAAGGAGACAACTGACGCGCATTACTCCATAGATGGCGAGGAATATGACGTTAAACCGTTGAAAATAGAAGTTGTACCGAACGCAATACAAGTCTTTTGTAATTAAACGAATTAAAACTGGGATATGTGTAGTACATATGTACATATTCTACTCTTATTTTTGGTTACTAGCATTTATTTTATAATTTAACAGAAATGTGCTTACTGAAGTCCGGTGTTAAAAACATATTTGAGATTTCCTATGAAGACCTATAAATGTATGTATTTAGGAAATAAGGGTCAATACTCCTTCAAGAACATTGGCGATATTGTGCAAATAGTAAATTATAAAGCGGGAAACTGCAATATTGCATGTCTGAACGTTTCCAACTCGTAGTCTCCGTATATTCGAGTTCTAATTCTTTTATTGTTGCATAAGCAGGTGAGGACTGGAATGAAAAGAAAAATAATTACTGCATTCAATGCTTTTATGTATGTACATTCGATTTACCTTATTCGCAAATATAGTTACAACGAACTTTCCTGGCTTGAAAGTTTTTATCACACGGTTTATAAGATCCGCATAATTATTCATTGAAACATTGCTCTCAAAACTAACATACGAAAAATTACTCTCGGGGGTAATGTGTATCGTCATATATTCTCCCTAGAAAAAAGTAAATAAACAAATACATATCTTAATATAGCTTTGAAACACTCTTCTTATATTGAAAATATATGTACATATTTTTTAATTATTCCAATGATACACAATTAGATAATTAGTTTAAACTTACCTTATCGCCGATTCCATTCATTGAATATCCACATGGATCAAAAAGGAAATCATCTATTTCCATATCCGGTAAAAGTTTGTCTATGCCTGTAGCCTGATAAAATTCAAATATTACATAAATTAGTTANGGTAAAAGTTTGTCTATGCCTGTAGCCTGATAAAATTCAAATATTACATACATAAATTAATTCCATATCAAAAATCATTTTACAAACTTTGGTCACTTCTGCCCCAGTAGAGAACTTCTCTTTGGAAAACTTGCACATAACATTGTTGTCCAGATTTTGCATCAAAATCTCAATAGTCTGATCTGGCTCTGAGTTATCCAACTTGCGTGGTCTACTCACTTCTTTTTTAAATTTACTAAAAGTATACAAGTACCAGCATTCTCTGTTAATTGAACCCAAGCAATAGGATCTGCCTTCTTCAAAAAGCGTATCCAGATATTCGACTTCTTCACAGAAGCCACGATGTGGGAATGACTGCAATGAAGTCGTATGTATTGGAAAAAGTACATATACGGATGTACATAAAGATTACTGCGAGTAATTTACAATAACCCAGCAAACACAGTTGCTAACGTTAGAGAAACGTTTGATTTTGCATTAGAATTCTAATGTAGTTCTCGAATTGAAAATGAGGTAAGAGAACTATGTTAGAATTCGATTAGAGAATGATTAGAAAAACACTAGACATTAGAAACCAATTAGAATTCAATTTTATAATACGATTAGGTATCTAACCCTTTTAATTTCGGGAATAAGTCCCCTTGTTGTAGAGAATGCTATAGTTTATGTAATCGTTNAGAGAATGATTAGAAAAACACTAGACATTAGAAACCAATTAGAATTCAATTTTATAATACGATTAGGTATCTAACCCTTTTAATTTCGGGAATAAGTCCCCTTGTTGTAGAGAATGCTATAGTTTATGTAATCGTTTTCTAACCTTCTACATTAGAGAAACGCATAGAATTCGAGTCGCTTTCTAATCGTTCTCTAACCTAAATGTATGTTGGGAAGAAGTCTGTCATACCTGCAGTTCTGGTCTGGAAAAATTTTTTCTTGAATAAAACAAATCAGTTATCTCAGTAAAGCCATACTGTGGCACAAGCTCCAAGAGCGGCTTGAGACTTTTAAGCAATGTTGTCGAACCGCATGTTTTTAGAATCCAACGATTTTTGGAAACAAACATGCTACTCTCACTGTAATTAATTAAAATCAATGTTATAAAATCTTTCTATCTAGCCTTGCTCATTTCCGAGTTCCACACCTTAATACATAAGCATCTATGGCATCATTTTTGGTAAAACTTATTATTTCGCATTTCACGGTTTTTAGTAAATTTTCCCAGTTGGTTCTGAAAATAGTCAAAAGCGCCAAATCATTAAATACAAACCAGATTTGTGTAAAACAAATTTTAAATACTAATTGATAATCAACAAAGTAACATCTATTTATAAGTTACAAGTTCAAAAAACCCAGGCCATACTATGTGATAAGCCTTTTATAATTGAACTCTAATTGATAAGGAAGTTTTACAGACATACATACGCACGTGCGTTAAATCTAACATTTACTAAACGATTTCCTTGAAATGTGTACAAAGAGACTGCTCCATGATACCGGAGCGACCGAATTTGATCATATCCGGCAAAGAATTATCCATACATCAACAATTACTGATTTTAATGAGCAGTATTATGCTTATTTGCGTTCCATACAACGAGAAATATCGAGGATCGAACTATAGTCTTGAGAACTGTTGACCTTGTTGACCTCATTGATTCCATCTGCACTGGGCACAAATCTTACCTTGGTATCTTCCTTAAGTCATAATCGCCATTATCTCCATCCTCGAACCAAATTTCCAATAGCTTCTCTACACCTTCGAAGAAGTGCACGGAGGGCTCCACCACTATTCCATTCAACATTTTACCGGATTAATGTATGGTAGTGCACGTCCGAAATAAAAATATGCACCGCATAATTTATAATAAAATCACATATAACCCCAGCGTACCAGACAACACAAAACAGCTGGCTTAAATGTAGTGATTATACAGAGTTGCCACATCCGGCATAAGGGGATGGTGGTGAAAATGCCAAGTTTTTGGAATATCGTGAGATGGCAAGAATGATGAGTACAAGACTGCTCATTCCCGGCGGCGCTGACATTTGTCAAGTAAAAGTAAACAAAGCCCAATAGCAGAATAAAAGAAACTGTCACAGCAGTCAAAAAATGCTAATTAGTTTTATTTCAAAATACGAGGTTTGTAGTAGTTTCATCCGTTTTTGAAGTCTGGCAACTCTGCTTAAACAGCTGCCCGTATTCGTTTTCGAACATTCGACATCAATTCGAACTGTGGAGAAAAATCTAGAAATTCACCTCTGCGAAGTTATATAAAGGTGACTGCGCCAGCAGCACGCAACAGTGTTGAAAAAGTGAGCCAAGTGTAAAAGTCGCTGCGGAATTCTAATAACAGTGTTTTTTAAACTGCATACATACATACATAAATTAAGCGCAAAGTGAACGTGTAAAGTTGGTGTTGTAAGTAATATTTCACATTTACGTGTTGAGTCATTTAATAAAAGAGATTTGGGATTTATTAGAGAGTAAGTGTCAAATATGGGAAAGTTTGATGACTTGAAAAAGTCACAGTTAAAAAAGGAATTGGAGGCACGCAATTTAATTACATATGGAAATAAATCGGTATTACAGGCTCGGCTACTGAAAGCGATGGAAGCTAGTGGTGTCGCCAAGGAAGAGTACGAATTCCCTGCAATGCCATCTAACAACTGTGGAGACTCATCAGTGCCAACAGATATGAATGCCTTATTAGGTGCGATTGCGGGAGTACAGGATAGTTTGATTCAAAATACGTCGCAAGTGGAGGATATGCAAAAGCGCATAGAAGAAAGTTTGGTTAAGAATTCAAAGCAGTTAGAAGAGCGCATACAAAAAAATGCATCCCTTTTGGAGGAACGCATGCAGAATAGTTCATTGCAGATGGAAGAGCGCACGCGTGCAGATCTGGCTGTTTTGCGCGATAGTCTGATTGAAAACTCGAAGATAGTGCAGGAAAAATTGTCGCGAATCGAAGAAAATTCGATAAAACTGCAGGCAAGACAAGATAAAGTGGAAACCGAGTTTCAGGCGCTTCAACGCGAGGTAAAGAATGAGCTCCAGACGATTCATAAGAAATTAGAGGCAGATATCTCCCGCTTGGACGAGTGTTTTCGCGAACTTCGTTGGAATGATTCAGCATCGTCTATTGGCACCGCGAAACTGGAACTTCCAACCTTTGATGGTACGATGCCTTTCAATATCTTTAAATTACAATTTGAAATGGCGGCAACAAGTTATAAATGGAGTGTTGAAGATAAGTTAGCCGCGCTGATTGTTGCTCTTAAAGGACCTGCAATGATAGTCTTGCAAACTGTTGAAAAAGCGGACAGAGCTGATTACGATGCAATAATATCGGCTCTAGAGAAATACTACGGTAGCGAGCACTGGAGGCGAATGCATCAGATGAAGTTGGTCAGTCGTACGCAGAAAGATACAGAGACATTGCAGGAATACGCAAACGATATTGAACGTCTAACACTTTTAGCTCATTCGGATATACCAGTAGATTACTTGGGCCGTGTCAAAATACAATCTTTCATTAAAGGAGTTCGAGATGTGGAAATAAAGCGTGCCCTGTATGCGACACCAAAATCGACTTTTGTAGAGACAGTGTCTTTTGCTGTAACACAAGAAACGGCTAAAATTCTAAGCGATCCGGCAAAAAGCGAAGATATAAAGGAGCAAACAACTCTACAACCTACAATGCTAGAACTCGTGCAGTCCTTGTCTCAGTTGTCTAAAGAATTGAAAAATGGCGTCGAAGCTAAATGCGTTACCTGTGAAAAGTGTGTCACGGAACAATAGTACAGCTCGCTTCAATCAGAGTTCAGGCGAAGGGATAATACCATATTAATATGTATAATCTATTCCCTCGTTATAAGACAAAAAGTTGTAAAACTGGTTTAACAACAAAATCAATACCGTTAAACGGCAGCAACACCAATCGGCTGCATTGTTTAAAGAATTTGATTGCTTTTTGAATCTATTTTATTCCCCGGGTTATGCATCCTATCTAGAGTCGTGCACTCCCTAGGTACGGCAATATAATAGTTGCGTTTCAGATGCTTCACGATTTGCAGGTTTTACAGGATTTGCAGGAACAGCTGTTTTCTTCAATAATAAACCTTATGGAAGGTGGTCACCTGGAACGGCTTCCTGTAAAAACCTGCAAATCAGAATCTGAAAAAAAAAATCAGCATTAGTTGTGACATCGAACGACTTCGTCAGCTTGTTTACATTTTAACAGCTGAGATCATAGATCATAGCCAGGGTTGCCAGACCTTTAGAATCTGAAATTCGTACGCGGGAAAAATTTGGTCAAATTTGCCAAGCAAAAAGGAATATACCTATGTAGATAAACACATACAATCCTACTTCTAATAACATCAAATATATCGACACATTTTTCTACTAGACCTATTTATTTTTAACTTCACAGACAAAGTTATTGTTTTTCTGACTAGACCATTTTAACTATTTATTATATTTAAATTTAAGTTACTGTAACACTGCTATAAAAAAATAAAAAGTATTAAATTCAATACAAAACCACCATAAAAATACTTAATTTTTTATTTCCTTGAGGTCATAAATAACTAGTGTAAGTATACAAATGTAAAAAAAAACAGTTTCGTTAATGTTAATACATTTAATTTACGTGTACGTTTTTTTAAGTCTCAGCAAAGAAACACGTTGTGCAAGTGTGCAAAGTATACAATTAGAAGTAAAATGTGTATTAGTAATTCCATGTGGATTTGCAATACATTTGGTTTTTTAATGGAAATACTAAACAATACGTAAAAATATAGATTTTTAATTTAAGTTATTCGTCATTTCCTGGAACAAATCTAGAATACCGACCGTTGAGCTATGCAAAAACGAAAAATGCAGATCAATATAGTTTTCTACGCACATATCAAACATGTCAAAATTATTTACCGCAAGTAAATATAAAGACGGTTATTATTTATTTTATTTATTAATATAAATTTATTTTATTTTTAATATAAATATCTTAATATTACCGATTCTTATCTTATTACCGATTAAAAAACTATTAGCTTCAAAATAAAAATAATCAAGTTATCTTTCAGCGAATGTACGTAATTGAAATTGTTTTTTATATATTTAAACCAAAACCACTAATTTTTCATGAAATAACCTTTTGTGGAGAAAACTGCATGATTAATGGTAAAGAAATTTATATTAGTGGTATTCATCTAAAGCGATAACTTTATCAAGCAGATAATCTTATGTTTACGCACTCTGTTACATGAACGACCCACACTCTCTTTTCGTTTACACATGCAACAATAGTCGTGTTTTCTTTGGTTATAGAGCTCAGTATCACTAACTTTATACTACTAGCACGAGGATAAAGAAATTATAGAAACTAACTCACTAAATGGGAAAAAATTATATTTACGAGATAATATGTATTTAAATAAATATATATATATATATAACATAAAGGCTATTAATTTGAAGAAAGTTAAAAGAAACAATGGCAGAATGTCTGTTTGTGTATGAATTCATTTGTCACAGCTACCAAACTTTGCGGCCAAATTATCAGTGAAACAAAACAAACAGAACGTATAATAATTGAACCAGATCTCTGTCAGGATCACAACGTTGTTGTTGAATTTGCGTGCAAAATTTTTATGCGGATCTCGATTATTACCTAAGAAAACATAGCTAGAGTTGCGACAGTGTTGTATTGACTTCAGTTTGTCAAGTTTATTCAGTGAAATCGCTGGAGAAATTTATCAGAAATGTGTAAACGAGTTTCCATACAAATTTTGACAGTTCATTTATAAGGTTTACACAATTATAAGTTTATACGGTTTACAATGCATTTATAAGGTTTGATGAATACCCTTAA